GTACTACTGAGTAATAATGTTTCATCCATTTGTTATAGATCACAAGTGACATTACCGATCCATTAGTTTTTTGATCACGTTCACTAAAGATTATCGAATAGACCTTTGACTTAATGTCCTGGTTTATAAAATATTCATGAAGATAGTCTGTATTGGTTTCTGATATAGCCATAATGTCGATATTATTTTCTTTACCAAATTCCAATAAATTATGAAGTTTCTGTATAGACGGGACACTAGCAATCCCATCTATATTATGTGCTGCAATGTGCATTTCTAAAAACATTGAATTTTTCGTCTCTTGGTCATTCAATTTACCCTTAACAAATCTTAGCCTTTGTATTGCTAAGAATGCGTTAATACTTTCTTCGTTTGTCAAGGACTCGACTACTTCTTCTATGTTGTCTTGATCCTTTCAGAAATCCCCCTTTTCAAACGTTAGTTCATTTGTTTCTGGGTGTATATCATTGTCTGCTTCACCACCCACTAAATATTCTTTTTGTTTTTGTTGTTGTGATCATTCGTCACTTGTGTGTTGTATTGAGGACGCGTTATTGTCCTGATTATTCTTGTGGAGATTACCCAGAGCTTGGCATTTTTCCCTCCCTTCCATTCTTACTACGTGTGTAACTTCGTTTATCATCTTGTGTAACCTTCGTTGTTTTTTGTTTAGACCGGCTAAAAAAAACCTTAGTTCACTTTCGAAAGTTATAATATTCCACAATATCACAAATTGCAATTATTTTATAATTATCTATTTGCAGCACCATAGGACCCCGAACATTATATACATAACTCAGATCTAAGGTCAAAAATTTTAATATAACTTTATACACTTAATTTTATTAAAGCTTTATACAAAATCATCATATAAGTTTAAATTTTACCTGAGTTTATATAAAACAAAAATTATTTTATTTATTAATTTTATGTAATTATTTCAATAATGATTATCAATTCAAAAATTCATAATTTTAAAAAAATTTTAAAAAAACTTACTTGTCATAATTCAAAAATTAGTACTGTTGTGAAAAATACAAATGTTTCCACAAGTATTATACTAATGATTACGAAAATTTAAATCTAGGTAGTTTTTTGAACCTGCTGAACAACTTTCAATTAATAAAGATAGTCGATTTCATTTAATAAAGGTGCCGAAATTACGCTCTAAAGTTACTGATCGGTGATTAAAAAATATTGAGAATGCGAAAATTGCTCGTATTCCATAAGCATTACTCCGATTACTATAAAAATTTAGGTGTATGTAGTTCTGACCTTCGTGAACAATTTTCTCTTAATAAAGGAAGTCAATTTCATTTGACTAAAATGCCGTAATTATGCTCCAAAATTAATAAACGAAAAAAGCAAATTTAAAATTAATATAATTATAAAAATATGCGTGTACTCCATAAGTATTACTCCAATTGCTATGAAAATTTAGATTCAAGTAGTTTTGGCATCGTTAAACAACTTTCTCTCAATAAAGAAAGTCAATTTCATTTGGCTAAAATGGTAAAATTACACTCCAAACACACGTCAAATGATCAAAAATAGGCAAAAAAAATGGCACGAATCGCATAAACTATTCGCAAATTTGTATAAACTATTTACAAATAGTATAGGTTAATTCGTAAATAGCCAAAAACAGCCAAGAATAGCCAAGAATAGCCAAGAATAGCCACTGTTTTTCGCGCCATTTTTTTTGCCAATTTTTAGCATTTCGACCTGTGAAAGTTTGACGAAAGTAAAAAGAAAAAATTTAGGAATAAATGTATTATGAATTATATAAAATACCCATATCTTCACAAAATACAGGTAATAAAAACTGGGACAAAAGTATTTAATATGTGCTAATTTGTAAATTTACAAAGTTTTTAAAATTTTTTTAAAGAAAAATTTTTTATATACGTATATATAATTTATTTATACAAGTATCGTTATACAAAATAAAGATCTCACTTGATTTAAAGATTATCACTGTTATACAAATACATATCTGACTTACCAAAAAATTACTAACAGGCTATACAAAATTAAACATATGATTTATTGAAAAATTATATAATAAGTTTATACAAAACTGGATCCCAGTGTTATATGTACGGGGTCCTAACACCATCCTTAGATGATACTATAAGACATTCAATAAAATTAGTGATTTTAATTGCTAATAAAAAGATTGAACAATTAATTTTAAAAAAACTCAATGCTAATTAATACTTCTTGGTAAATTCTATTTAATTATGTTAAGATAATTATGGATTATTGTATCAAAAGTTATAAACTATGAAATTTTATATATTTGATTCTAATTTAACCTTAGTTTACATTATAATATTTTAGCCAAAATTACATGTATATCAAATTTAGTCTAGTTTGCATTATAAATTTAGCCAGAATTATATATCATATGTGCCGATTTTTGGAATTAGTCTAAATTAAGATTTTTATAAAAATTTAATATTTTAGTAAGATTAACATTACACAAATCTAAATTAAATATGTGTTACATATTTACGTAACTCAGATTTAATAAAAAATAAAAAAATTTTTTTAATCAATATTCAAAAATAACGGTAATAACCACTTCTTTTTCCCCATCACTCCCATCACTTTTCCATCATTTTTCTATTCACTTTTATTAAATATGACAAAAAAGTTTATAAGCAAATATAGCAGTTATTTTTAAGTGGTAAGTAAAAGAAAAAACTTAATATTTTATATACATAGATAAGACATATTTTTTCATAATTTTTAGCTTTAATTTATTGTTTTTTCTTTGTAAAAAATACATGCAAATAAAAAATAATTATGATGTAAAATAGTTGTAAAATGAATAATAAGATATTCTTTTTTTTTCAAAATAACTAATTATATATTTGTTTTTTATCTTTTAAAATTATTTTATTAGATTTATTCTACTAAAATCCTTAAATGGCAAATAAAATCTTTTAAATAAAGTAAAAGAATTTGGGATTCTCTTATGAAAGCATTTTTTGGTAAGAAATAAAATTTTCAGATCGGACTTTATGCAGGTGACAAAATCGTGCATTATTATTCCTGGAGATATGCTAACGTCATCATTTTACATTCATTTGAAAGCTGAGAATTTGCTCTATCGTAAGAATCAAAGATCAGGAAAATTGGATCACTGGATGAGGCGTAATTAACGATCAAAGTCAAATCAAATTTAAAAATTAAAAATAAATATATTAGACGTAATTATTCACAATCCAGTGATTCAATTCATTCGATTTTAGGCTTATTAGATAGACCTCAATTTTCTCTTTCAAATGAATATAATTTCATTCGTGTAGCTTGCATCTACAGGTATTTAATAAATTTTTTTATATCAGATTTTATCAAACTTATAAAATTTTATATTAATAATATAATTGATGATTCCTAAACATCTACATATATTAAACGAATTATTTTAAATTTATTTTAAAGATAAAAGTTGGCATCACCTTAGGGAGCAAAGATCATTCAAATTGAATCACTATATGTGAAGTAATTAATGATCAAATTTAGATAAAATTCAATAATATACTGAACGTGATTACTGAACAACTAGTGATTCAATTCACTTGATTTTAGATTCATTAGATAGATCTCGATTTTCTCTTTCAAATGAATGTAAATTTATTTGTATAGCTTATTTCTACGAAGAATTATCAATGATTTTGTCATGAGAGTTATATTTGATCTTTTAAATTTTAATGATATCTTATATTAAAAAAAAATTAAAAATTATATAATTAATTAGTTTTTTTTGCATTATCTGGTATAAATTTATTATTCTTATATAAATGATAATTTATATTTGCTTTAATAAAATTATTTTTGTGTAAAAAAATTAGATTCCAAGGATCGGCCCATATGTATATAACAAATACTTAATTATGATTGGTTTTAATATAAGGTCATATGATTAATATAGTTATGTAATATATTATATGTAAAAATAAAATTGGCTTCTCAAATAAAAAGTGAATGTTTTATGCTGTCACCTATTATAGATTTTGGAAAAATAAAGATCAGTAAGTATTTTTAGAGAGAAAAGCAGGTTTTTAGTTTTTTTATATAAAAATATTTATTAATATTTTTTTACTTCCTCTTTTTTTGTAAATATCAGTTTAAAACTTAAAAATGGAAACTAATAGGTATTTCTAGAGAAGAAAGTGGGAGAGTTTTTTTTAGTTTTTTTATATAAGAACATTTATTAATGTTCTTTTACTACTTTTTTACTTTTTTTGTAGATTCTAATCTAGAATTTTGATTAGTAGTAATCCTTTAAGCCTTTAAGTTCATTATTATTATTTGTTAAATAAATTGTTTGATTTAGTTTTTAATGCAGTTACGCTATTTCAGAAATTATAGTTTTATTATTTCTAATAAATAATTAATAAATAAATTTATATTTATAAACTGGTGTGTTTTTTATTAAATTATCATTTAAAGATATTAGAAAAAATTTAATTATCAGCCAACCAGAATTGCAGAATTGCAGATTACTACAATTCAATTCCAAAATCTGCAATATTGCGAATTTTGAAAATTATTTGCAGATTTATTCTTAAAAATTACCAAATCTATTACTAGAAATCAAAAGTAAAAATTGCCATCAAAAATCAAAAATAAGTTTATTAAAGATTGAGAATGAAAGTTATATTACTAAAAAAATATAAAATTATTATCAAAATATAAAATCCAAGTACTTTTCAAGCTGAAATTTGGATTTTTCTAAAAAAAAAGAAAGAAACATTAATGATTATTCAAAATCAAAAAAAAAATAAAACAAAAAACTAATTACCAAAGTCTGAGGTTTTATAATTGCAAAATTCATGCTAAAATCCATAAAAAAAAATAAATTAAGTGACAGATCGGAACTCGATAGGATAAAATGATCGACAATCTATAATTAATTTTACGGGTTTCGTTATTAATAAAAAAACTTTTTTTGGAATTTCGGTTTCTTTGTTATAAAAACTTTTACAATGAGCAAAAAAAAACAGTATATAGTAACTCTTTTAGCTAAAGGAATTATTTCAGAAGACTTGCATTATGGAATATATGCACGAAATTGGTGGGAACCGTGCAAATTTAACGAAAACTGCATAAATCCAATACCTTATCGACTATTTATGTCTGTTAATTGTTGTCTTAACGGTAAGAACTTTGCAATAACAGTTATTAATGATGAGCAAACACATAACCCATGTTTTCATTGTATTTGTGATGGTAAAGATTCCGGAACTCAACTAACAGCTACTGCAGCTATTAATAACACGTATAGCCAAATTTTTAGTAATAAAACAAAGTATTCAGGATTAGCTGTAATGGGATTTGATAATGAAGCAATTGTTCATGAGTTAGTAGCTGATATTTCATTTATTCCAATATTTATTCGCTTAGATCAGATATTAATTGTAGTTAGTAAAATTGGTGTTTCATCTCGTGAAGGAT